GGGTGGTCAAGGTCGCAAAAAGGGAGGCGACGGTAAGTGTAGTTCCGTGTTCTTTAAATAGACTAGTTTTTTCAAGTGACGAATTCAACACAGATTGGACCACATACTTTCCATTTGCATGAGATTTATGGGCTTACATCGCCTTCAACGGCACCACATGCGCCTACTCATTCCCCAGAACATACTTACCCTCCACTCTCGACACCATTCAATTTAAACACTATGCCATTACCCGCAGGAACGGAGGACGAAATGCAATCAGAGTGCCTCGTTTGCCTCTCGTCCCCGCGTGAGGTTGTACTTCTTCCATGTCGTCATCTCGTCGCATGCAAGGATTGCGCTCTAAACATGGTCGAGTTTGGCGCGGGCGGAAACATCAATCAGGCTACGGAGGGCGAGGCGGAGGCTGCAGCGGACCCTCCTGCTACTACAACTAATAGTCCCACTGAACCAACGGCCGAAGGTGATGCTGCCCCCGCTGCCCCCGCTCCTGCTTCTACTACCCCCGCTACTCCTACTGCTACACCCGGTGCTTCTGTGTCCACACCCGGTGCTCCTGTGTCCACACCCGGTGCTCATGTGTCCACACCTGGTGCTCCTGCGTCAGCACCCGGCACAGTTGGAGCCAACGCACGTAGAAAGAGGAAGGCGAAAGGATGGTTTTGCCCTGTGTGTCGACAACGTAAGTCCCTCTCGCCCCTCCAATCTGTTGACTGACGTCCTCGCCCAGCATACACCTCCCTCCTTCGAATAACTACTCAGCCACCACCAACGCAGGAGCGGCTACGCCAGGAGGCAGCCGCGTTAGAGGATGCCGCTGCGATCGAGAACACCAACAATGTTGCTGCGTCACCGCCCGAGAACGGTAGTAGCGGAGGACTATTGAACTTAAGACCGACATTCTTCCGCGGTTTCAACATCAGGGGTGCACCACCGCCGAGCGATATCGAGAGCCAGGCGGCGACGACACGTGTGGGTGCCTAGGCTACTTTATGGCCAGCTATCCAACTTCTTGACGTTGAACTGTGAGGTTCCGTAGGATGTGTATAGTATTATGGGACATTTTCAGATGTCTTTCTTTACTTTATGATATGTTTTTTCCTGTGTCCTTGTGGCGCTCTGGAGCTCATCCAGGATTTCTGTATATTGTACCCCACGTATTGTATGTTTTCTTGGCCATGTTATGTGTATGTGCCCCTAGTCACAGAATTAATAGAATGAATTATGCGATTATAATTGCTATGTGAATGATATATGGAAAGCACATGACATAGACGGGAAGAAACAGATGCGATGAATGACGGATGCATATGAACGTCAACAATAAACTACCATAACATTGATAGTCGATCATGGAATAGCACCCCAAAGGTCGCAACAATAAGCGCACCAAGGAGGATTGAGACAAGGCCGAGACCAACACGTGAGGCGGGGAACTGTCCGCCGACTAACGCCTTTTGGATCACGAAATATCTCGCAACACCTAGAATTGTCTTTTTAAAATATACTTCTCGCTGTAAAAATAACAACTCGCCAATAAAAAGCACCAACAATGCGATCACGACGGCTGTAGCGCCAAGTGGCCGCGCCCAAGTCTCGACGCGTGATTCGCGTCTCGGGGTGGTGTCTGAGTAGGACTCTGTGATAGTCAGAATTTGGGCTAGTGCTGAGGGATGCGGGTCAATCATTCCTTCCATCGATATTCAAGCAAAAGATATCGATCACGCACCAACACCCGCACAAGCAATCGCGAGACTCGTCCGAACGTACGCGAGGAACGTTCGTTCCGATGCGAGGTGATCACGCGCCACGCTGCCGGAGTTCACTAGCGACAGAGACACGTCGGAGGTACTCAAGCCGGGATCTAAGTCACAGTGCAATAATCCTTCCATTCTGGATCCTAGAACAGCAGTCGTTGGATCTTGTGCGGTCTCGCCCCCGGGTCGATGGAACGGTTCTGAGAAAGACCTGCGGTAAGATAAGGTCCGAAAAAAATGGATATGATCCACCCACTCATTCGATCCGGAGACGTTCTCTCCACAGCTATCCTCGTGTATCCGCTTGCTCCCTTTTTGAGTGGTGTCCTTTCCGAAGGGGTTTCTGATGCAGTTGTGCTGGCTTGATCAGCTTTAGATGAATCTTTTAGTGTTCCATGGCCGCTAGACTGAAAGTGATAGGTATATGGCTGTTGATGTGACATAGATGGAGCTTAACGCAGCTCAACGTCGTTAATGATGCTTGTAGCATTCCTTGCCAAATAATTTGAATGGCGCAAAAAGAAAGCAAGAAAACGCAATCCTGAATTTGAATTTTCACGTGACCTGATCGAAGGAGACTTTACGTCCTTGTCCACGCAGGATCCCAGCGCACAAGTTGTAAACACTGCTTTTTATTCAACATACCCACATTTTCGCATCTGCCAAACTTGGGAACTCTCCAGCTAGGATCAAAAGTGAGTCCATCTCAGTTGAAACGAAACAAAATGTGAGAGGTATAACTATCGCTGTTCTAGTTGGGCTGAAACTTTTAAAACACCGACCGATGCAAGGGTTCTGTTCTTTACTTTTGGAAATTCGGTTGTGTAGACCTCCAATCCTCTTTCCTTATTACATACCATATAACTATACCTCTCAGACCAGTTGGTGTGTCGCAGAAAGACTCCAAGAAGTATAAATGATGCATAAAACAGCTGATAGCCTATGTAGCCTTCCTTTAGTTGAGTTTTTCATGTCGAATTCGCTATCTTCCGACATAGTCGACTGTCCCCTCTTAATTGGTATATATCAAAAACTTATTATTCTACTACTATATTACGGGCGGGCCCCGCCCGCCCGCCGTTAGCGTTACGACCGAGTATTCGCGTCACGCATCACGGGGGGTTGTGAACTGAAGTCTGAAAACTTGTGGTGCTCGTCGCCAAAAACCCCCAGATGAGCTCCCCAAATAGCTCAAAAGGTCGTCGGGCCGGATGCTCGGTGCCAAAAATCACCATAATTGGAAGGACTCGGTCGTAATGCTACAGTATTTCCATCAATTTTCCTTCCTTTTGTACTGATAGCTAATACTAGTAGCATTTAATTGAGAAAGAGACCGGTCGATAATAGTCTAAGTGCAAAAGTTTCTCACGAAAAAAGCTTTGGATGATGGAGATTGCAAAACAGAGTCTCAGCTGCTAGAGAAGAGCACGTGAATGTTCAATCATTAGTAGTCAACTTCTGTTTCAAGTATTTTATTTCCTTTGCACATATCCATTCCCGTGCCGGCGCCACAGTGAGCTTTACTCCTGGCATTAGCCTAATCCATCAAAAAAGGAAACAAAGAGAAAGAACTCTGTGATTACTATTGACAGACTGTTGTTGCAAAAGGACGATTTTTTCCGGCTGGAGCTACGTGCAAAGCCGGCTAGCCCCAGTATCTTGAAGATAAGGCATGTGTGACCACAATCTCCACCGCTACTACTCCCGTTTAGGTATCCCGCCACTTATGTCCAGGCAACAGTGTGCGCCAATGAGATCGTCCTCACTCTACCACGTAACTCATATATATATATATATATATTACTAGCCTCATCCAAAAAAGGGAAAAAAGAATAAGAACTGGTTATTGCTAAAAAGGACACTTTTCAGTATTCAAAGCCAACTTCTGGCAGAGATACTTAGGTGGCGTAACATTTAGTATTCCCCTAGGAGACCCTATTTTCTGACAGCACTGCCTGGCAGAGTTTCATGATTGAACAAAATCTGTTAGCGTTTAGATAATGTACATGAACAACTATGCAAATAACAACCCTTGTTCCTTCCATCTATCCTGGACCTTATATTGCACTAAATGCCTTTCTGGTTTAGATTTGCCCAAATTTCGTCTCCCTGGTTTCTTTTGGATAGATATACATCTATTTTGGGTCTCTCGTATACAACATATTACGTTTTCATGACTTTGATATTTCTCATCCTCCAGAATCCAGCACACTAGACACTAGACAATACTTATTTACAAGTTCGGGTGAAACTCCCGGTTCTCGATACGGCAAACGTACCGAGAACAACGTGCCTTTCTCTCTCAATGACTCAAGCTATCTTCGAGGGACATCAAGTGATCTTTTGTATATAACACCTTTGTGATCTTGATTACGATCAGTTGCTTGAATCTAGAAAACAGACTGGGTTGGATCAACGTTTAAGGAATGACCCCTAATGATGGTCTCACAGACGAAGCCGTCTGACTTGATGTGAGAATGTGTGGTACTGGGCCCCCTGTATCAACCCCTTTCCTTGCTTGATATTTCTCAAGCCGTGAAAAATTACGGGCTCACGGCATCGATACCTTCCGTAATTGATGTAAGAAATGTCAATAACCGCAATAAGTCGTTGAGAAAATTGGTATACATCTGAGATACAAAGCGTTTCCAGAAATCTACGGTAAGCTTAACCTCCATTGGACATATACAAATGAAAAAAGGTGGCAGAGGAATGATCTGGATGTCAGCTACCAGGAAAAGGAGCACTAATTATAACGCACATCCGCAGCACTGTTCATACTCACGATGAATAAGGAGGAAATTTCAGTGCTTCCACTAGATGTCCTGCACAGCCGTCGACCAAGTGATTGACAGCCATTGAGGACCTCACTCAAATGATTCGAGCAGACGCCAAGCAAGAAAACCATTATACTTACATGCTCTCTCCAACTCTCAATATACCTTCACGTCCGGTTTATCGGAATGGTGATTTTGTCAAAATTAAAATCTACTGTCCAATAAAATAAATTCGCCGTGTTTTTGGAGATGATCATTTCGGGAACTGCTGTCGAGGATGCGTGTCAACTAGGTATCCGATAGGAGATATCGTGGGGAATTACGCGACATACGTTTGTCAATTGAACTTCCCTGTTTGTAATATGCCGAAACGTTTGTCCTGTGTTTTGCTCCGAGTCCTTCGAGCCTTGAGCTCACTTGCGATGTTTCAACCCAGATATGTGATACTCTTGTAAGGTCATTATATGGCCGTGTGGCGAAATGGCATCGCGTCTGACTACGATGTGTAATCAGGAGATTGCAGGTTCGACCCCTGTCTCGGTCAATTTTAGAGTTGTTAATGCTTTTTTGACCCTGTCTCGCAGGAAAAAGACTGCATATTAAGCGAAAGCACCGAGATATAGTAACTTATGGATGGATGGATGGATGGATGGATGGCTGTGCGCTGGACATTTGTCGTCTGTGGAGAAGCCACATCAGTTTTTAAGCACCAACCAACTCTGCCTGCCAGTCGTATCGAAGCTGCATGGGTGCATGAGACCAGCAGGACCAGATAAATTATTAGATTATTTGTCAAAACATCATGTCTCAGATCCCAGAAATGATGGTGCCACCAACAGCGGAAAATCCTCATGCAGATCGGGGGGCATGTGTTCAATTCAGTTATGAAACACATCAATAGGGAATTAAAAGGAATTACAGACGTGGGACACTCATGACATCCATTAAGATCTGAAATGGATCTGATGCTGTATTGGGAATGATATACGAAGTGTGGTTCAAGTTGAAAAAGCTTTGGATCTCTGCTGGAAACACAGGGGAGAAGGAAAGAGAATCAAGAGACACGCCGAAGAGACTCAGCCACAAGAGTGTGGCGTTTGTCGCTAAGCTACGAAAATTAACATTACTTCCAGGTTCGAGATAGGCAAGGACCAATTTTCGTTGTTTATCAATGAATAACGCGGGGAAGATAAGAAATTTGTTGAGTAAAGTTATGTCATTCATAGGAAGTATGCAGTACAAAGAATCGACTGACAGGAAGAAGAAAGCCGGGACGGTTACCGCTTGAGTTGTCTCTGTTTCCGTCTCAATTTTTCTTCTTTCACTTGTTGCTTTTTTATTTGCGTGGGGCTGATGTTGAGCTCCTCGTTATCCTCCCGTTCTATGGCAGCGAGGTAGTCATCGATACAAGTCTCCATTTTGCCTTGAACAAACTTCTCCTCATCTTTTTTAGTTGTGGGTAAATCTTCTGCGTCTAATGGCCACTGAAAATCAAATCCCCAACCTTGTATTGGTGGAGGGCGAATAACAGAGCCAAAAGGTTCGGCCAAGTGAAGGGGCGATGAGGTAGCAGCAATTAAACCGCCCTCTTCTCGCCACCACCGCACAAAGTAGGCAGCAGCTCGAGCGGTGTCATATTCAGCACCACGCATGATCATTCCCATGCGCCTTGCAAGCTGTTCGAGAAACTCTTGTAAATCGACGGTCGGCACAGCACCCTTCGGGAGGAGGTGAAGGTAAGCCGGCGCTATGGACATCAGATCGATCAGCGAACAATTTTTAAACTCGAACAGAGTAATAGAACCTACATATAGGGTTCAAAACGTTAAGCCTATACAGTAAATAAGATGCAAGAGCTTCCATGTCGTATAACCCTTCTTTAATTCCCGCTGCGCAAAGTAAAGGCAATGATTCTTCATCAGACTCTGACACGGGAAGTGTGGATCTAGGGCTGGGGGTTACGTACATATCAGAGCAAGCTTAACCCCTCTCTCGGCACCTCCCTCCCCACGTCCTAAATAGGGCAACATCACACCGGGCGTATCAAATGCGTACACAAGGGGTTCCAATGAAACTTTAAGGCGTGTGGAAAGAGCCTGAGTGAGGCCAGGCTGAGCACCGGTTTGAAAGGCTTTCGGTGTACCTAATTCAAAAGGATTAGCATTCGGATAATCCGGTAAATAAGATATGCTCGGTTCGTACGGCCTTTGATGCCCATATTTCTTAAGGCGTTCAGTAGTGTCGATTTACCCACATTTGGCATTCCAATGACCAAAACGTTGAGTTCCATAGCGTGTGGATACTTGTTAGCTATGTCTGCCAGAAGGTTATGAGTATATAGACGTATCCCCATTATCTGTGGAGGAAGCACTAGAGCAACATACTTACTAAAAGCTCGGAGAGGTTGCGGATATCCCGCGGCCGTTGCCAAGAAGCAAACATCACTTGTTGGTCGGGGAACTTTTTACCCATGGCATTGCGAAACGGCTGGATCAGGAGCACTCAAACTCCATCTCGCAGTGATAAGGTCAAAAGGCTTACCTCCATTCCCCATTGAGGGACTAGGTCCCGTTTATTAAGCACGATAATACGCTCACATGCTCCATTATTCATGATACGACGAGTGGAATTATTCGGATCCCAACCTCGCTCACGTCGCCATTTTTGCAGCGCACCTGGAGGTAAAAACGCAAAGGGCGTCAACAAGACAATCATATAGGGAGTTCATGATGGCAGGACAGAGAACAGAGTGGTGCCCCACTGTTCGGAGGATCCGAGTGCAGAAGACTGTCAGTTTCGGCATTCTTTTGTGCGATTGTGGCATCGAATCCGAAAGGAACGCAGGAAGTATCGGAGCATACCTTCTAATGTTCTGTTGATACTCGTTAGCGGTAGACGTGAGTCTCTGATCTCAAGAACGACATCTGTTTTGGTAAGAAGTGACGGGAGCATCCGTGTAAACTTCATCATATGCCCAGGGAACCATGACGGGGGGACTGGCAAGGTTGGCATTGGTATGTGCGTGAGTGCCATACTAGATAGTGCGTGGCTGATAGAAACGGCTTTAAGTATACACGTCCGAGGCAAAAGTGGCAAAAGGTATCGCGGGCTAGCCGAGCAAAAAAGCGAAGTGACAAGACTCCTCCAGAAACGTGTTCTTGACTGTGAGCTGGACCTGGATAGAGTATAATCTGTTAAAAGTGGTATAAAGGATCGCGTTCGACCGTGGGTTATAGACGCCAATCACAACCACCCTTGAGGAAAAATGGTCACCCAAAAAAGTCGAGTACAAGCGCTATTTGGTAGTGTATGGCATTGGACCAAATATCATGGTCGCCAAATATCACGATGTCTATTTGCGTCATGGCCGGTCGAGCTTGACACGCGTAGGCACCAGTCATTGGGTGAGGCGATTATTTGGAAAAAATATCACAGATGTTATTTCAACTGTGCTCCACACTCGTCTTCATTCACGTTATACTCTGTAAAAATGAGGGTTGCATGGGTGCCACTATCCCACGCAAATTGGTATGGCTACGGCATGGCAGGTTCTTCATCTTCTGTCCTTGTTAAGTTGGGATACGCATAGATTCACTGATTTTGTGGCTACGTACCAAGACAATTTCGCATCAGTTATGTCTGTAGCAGATTTTTTTTTCATGTGTCGCACTTATTTGAATGCTCATGACGGTTTTGCATCGTCATACGGTGGCTTCTAATGTGTGTATATGAACGATGTAGTACTGTCTTTACCCAATGGCCCTAAATTCTGGGTATTCCTCCGGTATTTTGTCACGCTCTACGTTGATGCAGTTATGTTGGGTTACGAAGGTACCAATCAGATTAATGTTTTACTTCACGAGAAAATCGAAGACGTCAGTATTAATCAAATCCTCAAAGCCATACATCGTATCGACTGACTGGACCAAACGTTATACCTATACCGCTACCGAGTCCATCTGACTGGATCTATTTTGCGGCCAATCTGTGGCAATCTCCCCGGCTGGTCACACAAATTATGCATCGTCATCACGATGTCGTCATCGGGGAAACAGAATCTACTTATTCGGTCTTGAGCTGATTCCGAGGCCTAGCACACATGCATCCGACTCAATATGTCCAAAACGCTTTTCACAAATCACCTACCCAGCGTGTCTCCAAGCTGACATTTGTTTTACATGCCACAATATCGAGACGCCTTTCAAATGCGAATGCCTTTCAAACGAGACGTTCGAAGGACTTGAAGTCGCACCATCTCACACTGTCACTTGCTATGAGCTCTCCCTTGCGGCGTCGAAGGAAAAATCGTATCAGCTTGAGTTGATCCGAAAACATAGTCGATGACACGAAAAACCCTATTTACAGTTTTCATCATATACACAAGGTTTGGTCAAACGTGGGCTCCTGTCAACGGCGAACTTGTCGCTCTTCCTTCCGTAATACATCTCTCTCCGATTCAATTTCCCGCCCGGCCCATCAACCGTTTTTCTCTTCGAAGGGCCCTTGAATTATAGGCTGTTGTATTAAGCCCGTGTCAAAGTGATGACTACCAACCCCAAAAATATCATTGCCAATTGAAGGCAATGCAAAACATGCGGTCATCACGCAGCTAATGCCATCTAACAGAAGAATCAATTGAGCCACCAGAAGCCAACTGCGCTTCTGTACATTGTGAGATTGCTTCTCACGTCATCAGATTTTTTCCAGGGCAGAAGCAGAAGTAAAGTGTACTTTCTTCCTTACAAGCGAGTACTAGTACAAGCGATGCACTTTGACTACAATAGGATGTAGGCCGAAAATAAGATCAGTTCCCATAAGCGGAATTGACAGGACCCTGTCGTAACCTTGGCTTAACATCTGTGAGAAGGCTTGGGACTCTGGGGATCAGCGGCCTCCCGATAACAAGAAAGTTGAATCTGGCCGTTTTCTGGGGTCAAGTTGCGGAGTTTATAGTCAAAGAATGAAGGCACGAAAGCTGTCAGACCCATGTGATCATGGGTTCATGTGTATTGAATTGGGCAGTGGCACCGATACGAGAAGGGGGACCGCACTCGATCGCCGTCGAAGGTGATCGTTATCGGTCAAAGCCTGGACCCTATTAGCATGGTGAAATGCTGACATACTTATATATTATATGTACGCAGGAAACCGGGGACGGTAGCGAATACTGGCGCTGCAAAGGAACATAGGGGTCCGTCCCGTTTGCGGAACGAGATGGTAGTGGTGTTCGCCGCTTCTATGATAATAAGAGAAGGAAGGCATGGTTTACACGAGGAATGGAACGCCCGGAGAAGTTCGGAGGGTCCGGCCGTGATTGTTGCACTGAAAATTCAAAATTGGATTGGTAATGGCTCCTGTGGGAGATCCCATTGATTTGGCTACAATGCCGAGTATAGGCGTTTATTTAAAGAGGTTGCACCAGCGGTAATTCAATTCACCTCACACGAGTTTAACGCCCGAAATGTCGAAGCGCCGTGGAGAAACAGCTATCCAGATGAGTCGTCAAGCAGGCAACTTTATAGCGAGCATGGTCAAGACAAGGAT